CTACAAACCCCATAATCGGCCCGAATAACACTATGTTTTGTCCTTACAATAGTGGAGAAAACCTTCCCTGATTCATTTTTATACCTAAATTTCACATTTCATAACTCCTGCTAGAAGCAACTTGGGCCCGAACTAACTTAGGGTATATCACTCCTAGCTATGCCCGATCTAACCATCATATCCCCGACTGAAAAGCTGTTTGACACCTCGGATGGTTCCCTCGTAAGTCACTGTATAAGTTGCCATAGTGACATACGGCAGTACGCACAACAAAGACGGTGACACTCAGCATGAATTTAACCAGCGACGTAGTAATTACTTCATAATAATCTGGAACACTCTAAGACGCTTTATATTAAACATACTTTGACCTCGAAAGACTTCATGAAACTTTCAAAACAATATAGTATTTTTAAAAGAAGTTATTACAATATACACTAAATTAGATTGTAGCTGTTTTTCTCCTTGTTTATCTACACAAATATGTTAATCAAAAGCCTTTTTGTTATTTATTATCTGCTCATTTGCATTGAACTTGTCGCAAATTCTAAAATTACCAAGAAATATTAAGAAAACTTTTTTGAAGTTATTGAATTTCGTTGTTTCTATAGTATCGCAATATTTCACATAGTAGTTTTAAAAAAGATTAATCTAAAACTGAAAGTATACCTTTCAATGTACGATCAATATAATTATTCTGGTCAATACCTTCATTCCATAGGGAATTACAACCATTTGAGATAGTATTAAGACTACGTTTACTCTTAAGGTAAAGTAAAAATATATTTTGGTTTGACTGTCATAATCAGAAATGTTGTAGTTATTATTACGGTAGTTGGTACTGTTTCAGTACCAACGATAAAACGATAGTTTTATACTAGTCATTTTATGAAAGAATATATCTTTGTTATTTCAAAGTTTTGTAACACTACCTTTTTTCTGAGTAAAATCCCTTCATCAAAGCAAACCGTACTTAGCATGTTCACATGAATGCGTAATTTTATAAAAATTACCTTTCTTTCTCGTAATTTGAACAATCTTATAAACATCATATGAATACTGATAAGTATCTTCTTCTAGATGACTGACGCGTTAGGTTTGTTTTTAGAATTGCTTTCAAAAGTCTATCATTCGAAATCGGTGTGTGACCAGTTTTGTTTTCTCGTTTATTTATTGATCATCGTAAGTGTTATCTTTTTTCTTTTGAAGTAAATATGCTACACATTTGATTCACACCATATCTAATCTATATTTTTGTTACTGTCTTTTTTATCAATTGCATACAATAATTATGGCAAGTGTGAAAAGAAATAAATTGCCTTGTGCAACATGTGGTAAAGCAATGAGTTTATTTACATGTCGAGGATGTGAAAAAGATTTTTGTTCTCGACATTCTATTGAACATCGACAAACATTGGGTAAACAAATGGATGAGATTACCGTTGATCATGATCAACTTCAACAAAAACCTAGTTGATTGTACAAAAGAACCTCGTCGTCATCCAATAATAAAACAGATTTATGATTGGGAACGACAATCAATCAGCATAATTCGGCAAGTAGCGGAAGATGCTCGAAAACTAGTGTTAAATAATCTAAATAAACATAAGAATAAAATAACAGAAAATATAGTTTCAATTACACGACAATTGAATAAAGCTCGTCAGGACGATAACTTTGATGAAATAGATTTAAAGGAATGGATGCAAAAATGTAACAAATTAAAAAGTGATTTAGCCCTATCAGATATGATTAATATTCGACATGGCCATGATACATTAATTACTCGACTAATAATTAGCATAATTCCAGCAGAAGTATTTGGGCAAGCTGCTGATAATATTCATATGGAAGACAATGGTCAAATAATTGTACATGGTCAGCCTGAAGGCCACGGTACTGCACGTGGTAAAGGAGAGTATTCAATGGGAAAAATTCGGTTTCGTTTTAAAATTGAACACTTATCAGAGAAAAAATGGGTCTTTTTCGGAATTGTATCGAAAAACGCACCTGTGCAACGAAATTCACGTATGTGGTGGAGAAAATGGTGTTTGTCTCAATGCTACAATATATAATGGATATAAAAGTGATATGAAAATAAACGATATATTCGAATTATGGATCGATGTCCATCAATATATAATTCGATTGATAAATGAACGAACACATAGTGCCTATGAACTTAATGTTGATGTAACTAAATGTCCATTACCATGGCAACTCAATCTTGGTCTAATGAGTCCAGACGATCGTATTCGTATCTTATCATGACTATATAATATCATAATCTTTTCTTTATTTCCTATTTCTTAATTGTATGGTTAATTAACAGAAAATTTTCTAGTAACTGCAGAATTATTTCTATCCTTATAAATAGTTTGAACTTGCATAGTTAGTTATGTTAAAGACAATGTTTAGTGAGGTAAAAAACTAAGCCTTCAATCTTGTCATCATCTTATTCGTATCTTTGTTTTTCGTTTACTGCAATTTAAGACAGTGTAAAGAACGCATTCAATTAATCTCGATAAAAATAATTTGTTTTAAAGACTTGCACGAAAAGAAATAATACTAACACTGAATATACTTATCAATATCATACTCATATCACAAAGGGTTACTTAAATGTACGTCGAACAATTGAATATGATACGTTGAAGTAAAGAGTCAAGGATAATGATGCAAAAAGGTCTCGTCACGTAACTGTTTCATGTGAAATGATAAAAGAATGTATGAGAGTGAAGAACAGAGAAAAGTCACCGAGTACATGGCATTACTGTTGAAGTGGTGAAACAAAGAAAGAATACTATTTAAAACAAGAAAAGAAAAGAAGTACATGCATAAAAATATGGTGTTATATACATTGATAGATTATTTTTTTTTTATTTGATTGCTATTCAAGAATCAAACATATTACAATAGCATCAGAATTCTCTTTAATGAAATTAGTTCGTTTTGTAATATCGATTTATTTTTATTAGCAAAGAAATAGATATCTTCATTTCTTCATTTTTCTATGACATCAAACAAGTAGACGTCTTTAATTTATGTCAACGGCAACAAAAACATATTAACAATTATTCTAGGCAAGTTTATGTAATAAAAAAAAGCAATGATGTTTCATTTCACTAGCAGTGTTATCGTGCTTCTTTATGAACTTGACGATCTAGTTTAACAATAACGAATTCAATAAATGCAAGAAGTAAAGGATTAAAATATTAAACAAGATAGAGCTAATGATACTGTAAAAGCAAGAGTTCACCAACATAGATTTCAGTTTGTGAATGACTACTTACTGTTAATTCATGTTGATTATAAAGGATGATAATCGTAATGTAGTACAGTTGATATGAACGAAAGGGAAAGCATAGGTAGCTTAAATTCAATTGTATTTTGTACTAATTTTGCAGTAGACTTCAGTCTCATCGAATATGCCTGTCATGATCCATCAGAATGGAACGATAACAGTAAAGAAACTGGCATAGTCTTTAGCAGATGGAAGGCGTTGCTTAGAAATCTGTCATATCTGAAGGGGAACAATCCACATGTCTAACCCTATACTTCAACACTTCTTTTAGATCATATTTTACAAAAATATTTAAGAGAAAAGAGAAGACCTCTCGAAATCTGAAATACCTGAATTACGTAGCCATTATATATTTATATATAAAATGATCGTTTGAGTCATGCTAATCGATGCATAACACTATTCGAATGTAATTGTTTAGATGACATTTTGGAAGGTTTATTTTTTTAGAGTTATAATTAGCCTATGATATGTTTACAAGCGCTTTTTCTTTTCTTTATTAATCATATGTCATTGACTCATATTCATTGCGATGTTAAAGTTTATTGAGTTGTAAGGAATCCACTTATCTTATTTCACCATATATATTTCATTACAGTACTCGTATTACTTTTCTTTGATATTCAGATTTGATTCATGTGCTTATCAATCTTCTATGCTTAAGTAGGAAGGATAAATATAGCAGAGATAATCAAAACGCATAAATACACTTCAATAAAGAAAAAAAAAGCAGAATAACAACATTAAATCAATCGTCATTTAATGTTCTTCGATTTCTTTTTTCTCAATTATGTATTTCATTTATTTTTCTAAGTAACGAATAACTAAAACAAAAATAATATAAAGTACTAGAGGTTTCTTTTGATACAAAATAGATTCAAATCTAAGAAATGAATACAGTCAAAATATTAATAAAAATAAAAGATATTCTTTCATACTTCGATAGATTTTTCTCATTATAGAACTTATCTATTTTTAGTATAAACAAATGTCTTCTAGAAAATCTGGAATATCTCGTATATGGAAACTTTATTCATCTGAAGAAAAACGAAATATTATTATTTATATCATTGGTATCATGCTTTATAAATTTGGTTTAGAAGCATATAATGGATCAATTGTTAGCCTTGCAACAAATCGTTATGATCAAGAAGCATTTCATAGTAATTCAACCATACGTACATTTGAAAGAGTTGGATTACTTTCTGGTCTTAATCAAGCATGTCAGTGTATTGGTTCTATTCTTATAGCACCACTTACAAAACGTTGGCCAACACGTACTGTTCTTTCAATATCAATTTTTATTTTTGCAATCTTTAGTGCCATATTAATGATTGTTGATGCTGCAACTAGTGGTCATATAAAACCAAAAGATTTTGTACAGATAAATGAAAATGATTATAGATATTACGGTAAATATAATACAAATGGGATAATACCAATATATTGTATTACTGGTGTGGCATTCGGTATGGTTGAATTAATTCGACGAGTTATACCAAGAGATATTGTCGGTGATGATGGTGAAAAATTACAAAAAATGGACGCACTTGTTCATATTTTTTATGAAATAGCAGGTGTTAGTGGAGCATTTACAACTGGTCTTGGTTTAATTCCTCTTCTTGGAAATAATTATTCATTTATAATTACACCAATACTTTTTACAGCAGCTGCTATTATTTGGTTTTTTATTAGTTCTCTTGGATTAGCAAAAACTAATAATTTAAATGATGAAAATATTCGAATTGATAAAAATTTTGAATCAAATTATTTTAAATCAATCCTTAACGGTTTTATTGTTTTTATTCAATCATTTTTTATTGGAGCAAAAATCATTTTTACACATCGAAAATTTGTTTGGTTATGGAGTTGTTATGCATTAACACTTTATGCACATCGATATCTTGAAAATGGTATTGCACCACAAATAGCTAAACGTTATCTTGAACAATCGGAATGGTCACAAGTTATTGTTGGTGCTTCAAATTTTGGTGAATTACTTGGTGCTGTATTTATATTTATTTTTGGAAATTTTATTAAAACTCCTCTTCCATGGTCAAGATTAGATGCTTTTATATTACTTCTTGTTTGGTATATTCCATATTATTATCCACCTATTAATAATGTTAAATATGCATGGATTATTGCTGCAACATATATTCCTATTGGATTTGGATCAGCTGCTGATGATATTGGACTTAATTCATTTATTCAATCATCTTTAAGTGGTTTAGAATCGAAACATAAAAATATTTCAGCTTTAGGAGCTGTTGCATCATTTCTTTATTCATCTTATATAATTATTTATGCTATTTTAAATCCACTTCTTGGACTTTATATAGATAATATTTATAATTCAACGAGATCAGTACAATCAGCATTTGTTAATACTGTTGCTATACAAATGACAGTTATTTCGACAATCGTATTAATCTCTACACTTATTCCAAAAGGTTCCATGGTATGTAATCCAGTATTACTTCACGATGAAGAACTTGATAGTACAATGGATAATGTGCAAAGTTCAGATAAACTATCCCATAAGAAAAATGATTCTGAACAAAATATTCAAGGGAATCCTCGGAATGAAACTGATTCACAATTAGTAAAATATTTTTAAAAAAACTGAAAATGAAATTTTTTGCTAGTTGACAAAGTATATTTTGTGTTTTTTCTTTCTTTTTTTTTTTGCAAGTGCAAGTATCATTTGTAAATCGAGCAGAATTTTTTCTTCAATATTTTTATTTATTAAAATGGAACTCATTGAGTTCTACAAGAATGTATATATGAAACAATGTTCAAACATTTTTTGAAATATATTTTACAGAAAGACCTATCGATAGTACTTTGTAGGATTGTGCATTTTTTCTTTAGAGAAACTTTGCTCAGTTTTTTAAAACAACTAGTTTTTGCTACATATTTGACATGTTCTCGAAGTTTGTATCTTATTTTTCATTTTAATCATTCTAATGCTAAGAAAAAAGTGATGCATCATTTTTAGAATTGACTTCAACTTTAATGACGTGAGAAGTCTCTTTCCTTCCTTAACGGTTATAACATTTCCAAAAATTAAGATCATGCTTTGAGTTTTTGGTGGTTGAAAATTTGTTTTTTTTTTCTTTTTAAAAATAAACATCATACTTGGAATGAGCACTGAAAACGACATCATAAATCTTATATTTCATCCTAAAATGTTGTCATTTAAAATTTTACTCATATTGCAAAATTTCTCGCATATTTTTGGGTGTATTTGGCAAATGTTAAATTTATTTTGCAATACAAATTAGTTCTTTAATCATCGACAATTTTAAGCACAAACTGATTTCTTTTATATTTTCTAACTGTCAAGGTAAATAAAAATCAGTTTTCTCAATAACAGTAAAATATTTTCTAAAAATGAAAACAAGATATCGAATTCAGAAGGATTCAAATTATTTTGTTGGTTTTACCTTAGAAAGTTAATTTTATTCAAAGAAAACTAATACACAATCCTTCATGTAACTATCGTTAATTTTCTCTTGCAAAGCATCTGTCAAAGACAAACTCTAATCTTTTTTTTGTTTATATATACCTTTAAAGTTCAAGGATCTCTGTTTTATCATCTAAACGTATCGTAGCAGAAAAAAGTGTTAACCTATTTTTGAATGACTGACAGGTAATATACTTTTTCGAACTATATACATACTGTTGACCGTCCATGTATGTTTAAAATAACAATATTGATGATGATTACTACACTACGAAAAGGAGTAAGGTAAAAATATCATCGTAATTACATAACGTGCTCAAGTTAATTCTAATGTTTACAGTAACAAATATTAAAGCATAATTATGAATATTACAATAATATTATAAATGTTCTCATGTAATCCCTTTGAAAAAAATAGGTTATTCATAAAAAATATTATTACGAAAAATTGATGTTTTCAGTTAAATTATTCAATATTCATCTATTTCTATTTTTCCTATTGATATTTTCCTTGATATTTGACGCTATTCAATGATACTCAATTGTCTAGACGCACATTAACTTTGAATTCTAATAAATTCTTCCCTCCAATAGAAGAACCTAGGTCTTTTATTATATTCAAATGATTAAAGAATTCAGGTGGTTCATCCATTGTGTCACATTATTTTTCAAAAGAGTATAACAATTTTGAAACTATCAGAAACCAATTTTTAATATTTTAAAAAATTCAAAAATAACAACGAAATTTTTTTAAAGATTTTCAGTCAATAATCTGGACGAAAAATATTCTTTTTTCCTTAATTAAACTCTAATTATTTTAGAGAAACAACAATTGAGATCATTAGAGTGGTAAAATATGGCGGCAAATGACGAAATATATGAGCACTACAATAATGATCTAGAATTCCGGTTTCTATTTTTACAAACTTTATTGCAGTTCGTGTAATTGTCCTCAACTTTTATTCATCCAGTTTCAATATTAGTATTAAATCGATCACTGACATCAAATGAACCCATTAATAATTCTCTGTTATCTATCAATCAATCATCTTTTTTATTGTGAAAAGTTATTTATCTGTTAATATCCACATGTTAACTGTTGATCAATAAAATGGTTGTCATATTTACGGATATTTTAATAATAGGGAAGAAGAGATCTTACAAGGAAAAGTCAAAACTAGAAAATATTTATTATTATTATTAAAGCAAATGAAGAAAACAACTTTTTAAGCCACCACTTCTTCTAATGCTTTCATAGTCACTGAAGACTTCGCATTCAATGGTAAATCAACATATTGCTCTTGTTGTTCGACCATATTTATTTGATTTATATCTAAACTTTCGATTTGTTTTTCTATATACTTTCCAGTAATGGGTAATTCAAAAAGTTGGCATTTATAAACAAATATTTCTTCAATAGTAGGAGCATCCTATGTATTTGCTTGGTTATCAACATTAGACTTAAACAAATTAATTTCATCTTGATATTCTTTAATTAGATTTTGTAGGCCGATAATAATTTGTTCATTATTATCTCCTGCATTTTGTTTTTCTTTTTCTTCTCGAATAAAATGATTTATGTATTCAATGATGTCTTCATTTGTTGGATTAATTGAATTGGCTCGTAGAAATAATGTAAGTTTAGCACAGATATGACGAATTATGTCTTGTTCTTGTTTCAATTGAGCTATTCATCGATCAATACGTGAGAATATATTTTGCGACGAATTAGATGATCGTTCATTCGTTATTTCACGATAAGTCAAATGTTTTTTAAATTCATCAGTTACATGTATATGATTATTCCATTCACACTGACATCGTTTGCATATGCCTGAAATCAAAAATGATTTGTGAACGAAGCATAATGGATGAAGATTTACTGATTATCTTAATATCATTCAATCATTTATCAAAAATCTTAATGTGAAATTTCCACTGCTCTGATTTTCAAAAGCCAAGGTTTAAATTAGCGAACAGATGAAATAAATGAAGAATTTTGCTGTTAAATCTCTATTTTGATATTAATCAAACAGACACTTGTAAACACTGCAGACATCCACATTTACTTATCTTGCCTTTTATTGTAAAAGATCTTTCACAAATAGATATCATAGCAACAATGAGTATGAAATATAGGTGTTTGCAATCTTTACAAGTACTCCAGTCGAGTAGATCTAGAACAAATGAATTGCATAATTATTTACAGTAAATGATTTCCATTTCCTTATTTAATTTCCATTCTATTGATCAAAAATGAAAAAACATTATCCTAAAATAGAATGATTTTACCTGTTATTTTATCTATTGCACGACAATGTTTCAATATTGGATTATTAATGACTTCTTGTTCAACTCCTTGTAAATAACAATGTCGATGACATTGTACGATATAATCAACTTTCATTTCATCATTGACTTTAACCACTTTTGAAAATTTTTTACTTGTACAAATCGTACGTGGATATTCGAGTAAAACAACTTCTGCAACTTTTTGAGGTATCCGATTAGGTGTTATATCATTTGCTTTCGTTAATACTTTGTTTTTATGTTGCTCAGCTAAATGAATATTTTCTTGTAGGAGTGCAGCTATTTCACCAATAGGACGAGTTAATTTACGTATAAGTTGATGAGTTTCATTTAATGATTGCATATCACGAACAGCATGTAAATCACATTTAACAATACGAGTAAGCATACATCTTAATTCAGTCACTGATCTATGCCAACTGTCAGTAATACTTTGCCTATGATCTGTACAAAAAATCATGTCCAGCTTTATTAATAGTCAAAAAAACGAAATGATTCATTGTCAAACAAAAATGTATTTTCTTTAATAAATGGAACATGATTACGTGTAGTTGCTTCTAGTTCATTAAGTAAAATTTTTAATTGCTTGGATGTTCCACCTGGCATATAAAAATTTGTTCGAGCATTTGTGAAAATAAACATCACATTGTCTTTAGCGTTTATATGTAAATGTTTCAGTAATTCTTTAATGTCATATTTAATAAAAATATTTAAACGATGTTCATTTGGTTTAAGCATAATACAAATAGTATTTAAATGTTCATAACGACTTACAAAAGCAAGAATATGGTCAAAATTCTTATTATCTTGTTCTACACCACGACAATCACCAATGCCTAGTGTATCAATCAAATGTAGGTAACGATTACCAATGGAAAATACGTAACTTTTACAACCTTGAGTTTGTGATTTGCCATTATCCTCACAAAGTTCATTATCATCAGGAGATCCTACGGTTATTGTCGTTGATCTATGTGTATCACTATCAGACACTGAGAAAGAAGAAGGTATAAGTATTTGCATTTTACCTCGAAGTGCTTCATCAAGGGTATTGTAAGAAAGATAATGAACAAATGTATTGATAAAAGTTGATTTACCAACACCTGTTTCACCAAATAATAATATGTTAATATCTTTCTCAGGATTTGAATTAAATGGCAATCTATATTGTGGTACTGTTTGGAAAGGTTTGAATGATTCAGCCATCTAATAATTGAGAATCAACTTAATAATCATGTGTATTCTATTTCATAATTTCAATAGTATCTGTGATGGACTTTAACAGAATTTGACTATACTTTCATCTAGAATTTAAGACAGTAGTGGGTCAAAGAAAGATATTTTAACAAAAACGGAGATGATAGCAATCTAATTAGTCAAAATAGTACTGCTCAGTTTTCTAGTTTCTTCTACTGAGAAAAAAAGACGTAAAAAAAGTTGATAGCATCAGAGGTTACTTTCACTACTATGCATCGAAATCTACTATTCATGCTAGTTTATGCGAATATATCAAAGAAAATAGAAAGACTGCTTGCAAATAAACTAAGACGTAGTAATTCAAATTAAAAATTTCATAAAAATGTTCAATATCATTTGCTGTTTTGCGTTTTTCTTCAGCTATCGTTATTGAAAATAATACAACCATTCGTTTAAAAATTATTGATATTCAACGCTCAATAATTGGCGATTTTGATAGACCAGAAATTATTATTAAATCTAATAGAAAATAAATTAACAAAACAGAGAATCTTTTTTTTTTCTTATTTACCATTGGACTCATAATTATATAATACATACTGTCCTTCTCGGCACTGATAGATCTACAAATACGTTAAAGTGACTTAACACTCGTATACTATGCACTATTCATACTTTATCAACCACTCGTAATTTATTCTAAATGTATCTTGTGGTACTCAATATGGCGCTCTCTCTCTCTTCCTACTCTGTGCATTACTGATAAGAAATTTTAAAAAGGTAAAGGCAAATCTAAGGATGTTTCGAAGAGGTCTCCAATTGTCATTAATTTGAAATGAACACACCTGAAAGGTGTATTGCAAATTCAAACAGTACAGTTTCAGTGCCTACGTCGTCGCTATTACTGCTATGAAAAATTTGTGTTAAATTTTTACTGTGTTCTTACCATCGAATCACGTTGTTTTTTATTTTCAATAATAAGTTCTTTTCTGTTCTACTACCTTTCACAAATCATGCGACTGTTGCAAACACGTGACAGAACGCTTCTATTGCATAGATACTTTTTTTTCTTCCTTGCAGTTTTGATTTTCAGCATTACTCTTTTAACGATAAAAAAATTATGTTTGAGAAGAAAAAATAAGCAGAATACTATACGTGTTACATAATTGTATAAATCAGAAAATAACTGTTAAAATAATGAAATTTTCATCAATAATTTGTAAGTCTTAATTGGCAACAATAGAGAGACTATGGAACAAACTAAATTTCAATTTATAACTTTATTTTAACACCACATAATTTGCATTAGACGATAATCTTGTACAAATTGAATATTAAAAATGATTTAGTCTACTTTATTTTGCCATAAGTATCTACAACTATGATAAAAGAGCACTGTTTAAGAAAAACAGGTGTTTATAATAAAAGAGTGTTCTTGAAAAATAGATTTATATATTATGTTTAATTTTCCAAGTTAGGAACACAAATTAGGAATCTCTTCAAATAGAAATACAAATCCTGATTAAAATGTAACATCGTTTTACAAAAATTTAGTTCTTGTACAAATCTGTCACATCCTTTTTCTTTCAACATACAACACGCAACTAAAAACTCTTGGTCATCAGAAAACAGCACTTTTTAGTTTGCAAAGAAAAGAGCGTTGCAAGTATATTTGAAAGACATACATATACCTAAATAAATAACGATAAAAGTTTCATAAAAAAATAAATAAATAATCTCAAGCAATAATTCATTAAATTTTACTGTTGATGATGAAATTTTGCAATTTATCAGAATCCACTTGGAAAATCAGAGCTATAATGCGTCATATATATGTAAAAAGTACATATGGAATTCATGTCGGAATAAAATTTATTCGTTTTTATGTTGCATAAAGTTTCTTTGATAAAATATTGATGGATGTTTTTACCGACTATATGCGTATCTTCTTTACAACTTAAAAAAAATTTCTGACTAGCGAAAGAAGTTCAAAATTATCTGTCATGTTTTAGTATTTAGAATGATAGCAAACAATTGATCGTTTTGAATAAACTTCATACACAAGGAAGAATCTCATCAAGATTTTTCTAACATAACAAAAAGTTCTCTGCAAGACAGTTTCATATATCTTAAAACTATACAATTGATCTGTCATTACTGGCTCACTCTATGATGTATATACGATTGCTAAGCTGGTAGTATATGATGGGCGAAACTTCTAAACTCGAAAGTTTCATCAGTTTCAACATGCTGTGACTAGATACAAGGTGACAATCCTGAATGTGAAAAATATTGGCATATCAGAGAGTAAGGGCTTTGTTCGTGAAATCTTCAGTATCAATAGATAACAAATATGCAATTTCTTCACTATTATTAATTATTCAAACAAAAAAACAACAATCTTAATGAATAAAACTTAGCTGTAGCAATTATTGAAAAGACCGTATCTAATGTTTGTGAAACTCACTTTGTTAAAGCAGTCAAGTGAAGCATGAAAGTGTTGGTCGCATCACAACCACCGTCTGATGATTAAAGTAATCTTAATTATTTACTTAGAAATATAAGTAAACAGCTACCCATAAATAATATAGTATTAAGAAAAGTTGACGAACATCTACTTGGCCGAAGCTAAGATCTGATCTAATTATACTGATAACATTTACTGATATTTTTGCAACAAATGACTCCAATAAAACTCGATTCATTTATTCACCGCTCATTAGAACACTTTGCTTTTAAATTTAAATTATTTTATAAGATAACGGGCAACATATAATATATATTCTGCACAAGGACAGAATTGATTTTATAAAAAAAGATAGTAATGATATAAATTAGAATTGTTTAATTTCAATACTGCTAGCGAATGAGTGTACTATACATGTGAAAATCAGATTCATATTCACATATTTATATTTCTCAGGCTAATTACATCTTTATAAAAATGAAAAGTCGGCATAGACTTTAAGCAGTTTTCTGATATTTAACCCATTATTCTTGTACGTTTCACACAACAACTAGTAAACTACATTTTAAAATGGCTCGTTATTAAAATAAGTCATTAAGATGATAAATACAATGAAGTTTGATAGAATATGCCTTCTAAATCAATTATAAGAGAATTTTCATACTATTTTTAAACGATATGTACATAGTTGAATTCGCTACTAAGGCTTACTTCTATTTATTTCGATGAAATAGCCTGCAGCATTAATGACAATAGATGCAACCGAAGTGAGAAATGCGTTCAAATGCATCTTAATGATATAATGAGAAGTGACGAACTGCATTCAGATGCGTAACTGAAAGTTAAGAGCAACAAATAACGTATACGTTAAGGATATGTGATTGCATATCTTCGATTGAGAGTCTTTCATCACTTTCAGCTGAAGATTGTCTACAGTTATAAATGCATTTCAGCGCTCTTGGAATCTATTTAAATTTGAGTTGCATTTAGATGCATCTAAAATAGCTTCCATGCTTGCATGGATGTAATTTAGATAGTGATATGACACTTCTCATAGAACGGAGAATAGTGAAATCCTTCTAAAGAACATTAACGTGTGCTTATCTCTTATTTTTTATCTTGTGCGCTGTCACTATCAACAATGATATGTAGTTTTGTTTAGTCAGTATAAGCATAACTCAATTCTTTCTCTATAACGGACAGTATACAACAATATGAAGGACGCACTGCTCGTCAATGATGAGGATCGTGCTATATTACGAACAAATAAAAGAGTTAGAAACCTGCTTTGCTTCGTCTCAATTGGCTTACTGTTTTCACTTGTGAATATCGCTCTTGTATCAGTAACATTTGCTGTCGTCAATAATCGACTTAAGCCCTCGAGTAATGATAACAAACTATCTCTCGATTCTACATATGCAGAATCGATACGTATCGATGAAGTTATGGTGCATCTTCGTGAATTGCAGCGCCTTGCTACCGCTAACAATAGAACTCGAGCCGTTAACACATATGGCTTTAATCAAACACTCGACTACATCACAGACTACCTGTCAACTAATACAAATTATAGAGTTAAAAAGACTTTTTTCCCAGTCAAAAATTTTGCACTTGTTCGAAATCCAATTTTACTTTCGTCGGTTGATGGCATCATCAAAAATCATACTTATTCAACCAATCTATCCGTTGCTGAATTCGTTCATGTTCCATATTCAACATCGTTAGCTTTTTCTGACTTTGTGCCGCTCACTGCGATTCCCAATTATGGTTGTTCAGATGCTGATTGGCTGGCAGCAAGTCCAACACCGACTGGCCATGTGGCACTCGTTCAAGGAGGTGATTGTAATTTTGCTGAAAAAAGCACCATTGCTGCAAAATACCACCCAATTGCACTTCTATTTTACAATGATGCCACATTTCCACAACCAATGATCTTTAGTCTTTTTCAGACAAATGAATTACCAGCACTGTTTCTCTCGTATTATCTGGGTCAAGCTCTTGCTGATGCAGCTCGAAATCCATCATGGAATGCCAGCGTTCATATAAATATCGACGTTATGAACAAAGGTACGTTTCCGGTGGGTAATATTTGTGCTGATACACCAACTGGAGATGTGACTCGGACGATTGTGATTGGAAGTCATAGTGATAGTGTGACAGCTGGACCAGGAATTAATGATAATGGTAAGCTAACATACTTATGTGTTACGTGGTCTAAAGTGGTGAATTAGCGTGGAGAAAGTAAATATCTACCCTCTGATTTCTCTCGGGTACTTCCACCGAAGCCATCACTCCTAACAAACACGATGAGTCTTCTCGGTCTTGTTGAATAATTCTTAGCTAATGAAGACGCCAAATAGTATTCTCATACCGATAATTTGATTTCATTCATTTAGAAAAATTTTAAAAGTAAAACATGAATCGGAAGCACGTATTGGCTACCAGACGAACTATTAATTAATTGGGATTCATTTTCGAGACGATTTTTAAACATAGTGTAGCCATTCAAAAACTGACTAAAATCAAGACTTTATTTTTTACATTTGAATGATCATAATGTTACCTTCAAAATTGTAAACCTTGAGTAAGGCATTTCTTGTTCATTTTTCGAACTTAATCAAGATTCACTTTGAAAAACATGTTGATTGCCTTTCAAACGTTCAACAATACTAATGAGAAAAAGAGTGAGCAAGCGAAGAAGAGAGAAGATATATACGTTTTGTTAAAAGCTCAAAACTGTAGCAAAACAATCAGTTAGACATTAAACCATCTTTGAGAAAACAAAATAAAAATTAATCAGCTTCTGTGTTTGTTTCCTTTTCTATTCTTGAACTTGGTCTTATTTGATTTGTAAAAGCATCAAGTAAAGCGACTTTAATCATAAGATATATTGAACCATTTTGATTTTTCATGTAGACGAAGGAAAAGCCATGTTTATCGCTTTTCTCAAACTTGTGCACTTGTGAATATAATAAGGAAAAGCTTTCAACGAAGCCCCTATAGGGTTAAAATGTCAAACATGATGAAGCTATTTCACATGGACACGAAAATGCTAGTTATTTTCATCACGATTCATTACAAAACTACTAGAATATCATCTTCATGTGCCAATTGTAGTCAGCAAATGGGACTAATCTACTGCACCATCAGAGAAAAATTGCCTTTTTGTTTCCCAGATTTCAATCGGTTCTAAATAAATGAAATATTCTGAAAGTTCAGCAATTAGATGTTCTAGATCCCATAATACCATTGTCTAGAAAGTGTCAAAATCCATAATGGATAGTCGACTTATTTCTCACAATCCATGTGACATATGAGAAGTCTAGTTTTCGCCCTGTATACTGCAACACTCATTAACATTTGCATTTTGTCTAAAATTTCGACTTCTCTCTCTCTCTCTCTCTCTATAGGTAGCGGTAGTGCAGCTAGTCTTGCCTTAGCGGTTACACTAGCACGTCTCTTTCAAACGACAAATTATGCTAAATACAATTACCGTATCCGGTTCTGTTGGTGGGGAGCTGAAGAACTCGGTCTTCTTGGCTCGGTTTATCATGTAGCACAGGCGCAAAATTCGACTATTGTTGGTGAACGTATCATTGACTATTTGATCAATCTCAATTTTGACATGCTCGGATCGCCTAATTACATGTTTGGTATTTATGATGGAAGTACAGTTGATAATGCTACAACTTCACGGCCAGCCATTCCGGGCAGCAATAGAGTCTCCGCATTGTTTCGTGATTGGTTCATTCGACAAAAGCTGCCCTGGGATTACACAGCGTTCAATGGTCTAAGTGACTATGCACCATTTTTGCAAGCAGGTATAGCGGCAGGTGGCCTCTTTTCGGGCGCAGACGATTTCAAAACACAAGAACAACGTGATCGCTATGATGCACTTCTTGGACAAGGTCAAGGTGGTACTGCAGATGCCAGTCAAGATCCTTGTTATCATAAGGCATGCGATTCTATTCAGAATATCAATGTTGCTGGCTACGAAAGGATGGTGCAAGCAGCTGCGTATGTCATCGAATTCTTGGCTCGACAAACTGATTTGAAAGCATGGCTCTACCCATCGACTGCAATTTCAACACGGAAACCATGAACCTATACATGATTCAGAGAATAAAGTCTAGTTGCCTGTGCTGCTTTTGATTCACGTTAGACTTGAAACAATCGTTTTGCAGAGGAAACTGCATTTTTTTTCTGAAAAGAAATTCTTTTGTTTTTCTACTTCTACAAGCGCTTAGAATGTAATAGACTGAGCAACATATTTTTTTCTCTGATGATTCAATAAATGATTCGAAAGAATAGTGTTTACAATTCTACCATGATCTAATCAAAAGAAAGTAGTAAGTTATTCTACACTTCACTAACATTATAGACCATTCTCTGTCGAATATCATGGCTGGGAAAGTTCAAACATCTTATAAGAAAGTCAAACACTATAACTCATAATAACTTTCGAAAAGGCTTAATTTTCTACGTAGTGGTGTTCGATGAGTTTCTCTTCGTGTTGTTACTTCCGTGATGACATATTCTCTGCAAAGTAGCATACAGCTGTCACAATTTTAAGAGTTTTGATCCTCATCACGCTTTGTCATTATTGTATGGTTTTCATTTGTTTCTTCGACCATGAATTATCAACGGTATTTTGAGTTCCACGAAGAGGCAATTTCGCTGTAAGAGTTTTTTTTTTTGAATTTATATGTTTCTCTGTTTCTCTTCAAAATGACGTTTCAATTCATGAGCTTCCGAGAAGATTAAATATTGTTCATGTAAAACTATTGCAACTATTAGAACATTATACTTTGTATTTCCATCTTTTACCGTAGTCTTTGTTGCAGTTATTTGTCAGAGTTGGTGTTTTGCAGTATATTTACTATGACATGCTTGAATCGTTTATATGTAACGGGGACTGTCTACTGTCAATATCTTCAACGTGAACGAACCATTTTCTTATGAAAAGAATTCTTTAGTTCCAGTTAACTTTTTTCTACTTTCAACAGCAGCTACTCACTCTTGATAAAACTGTAAGACGAGGACAAATTTATTGCCAATGTGGTAAACTTTCCTTCTTAGATCGATCTACACAAAACTATTATCCTACAAATAGCGTCGTGAGTTTCACAGCTGTTGCTTACTCGGCAGTAATTGGATTTGAAATATTTCTTATTTATCACCAAGTAAATAGTATGCTATCGACTCGATTACAGCTAATATACAAAGTTTAAATTGTGAGTAAAATGGATTTTTTCGTTGTTATCAATCGAATGNAATGTATACGGTTCTCTGTTTCTCGTCAAAATGACGTTTCAATTCATGAGCTTCCGAGAAGATTAAATATTGTTCATGTAAAATTATTGCGACTATTAGAACATTATACTTTGTATTTCCATCTTTTACCGTAGTCTTTGTTGCAGTTATTTGTCAGAGTTGATGTTTTGCAGTATATTTACTATGCCATGCTTGAATCGTTTATATGTAACGGGGACTGTCTACTGTCAATATCTTCAACGTGAGCGAACCATTTTCTTATGAAAAGAATTCTTTAGTTCCAGTTAATTTTTTTCTACTTTCAACAGCAGCTACTCACTCTTGATAAAACTGTAAGACGAGGACAAATTTATTGTCAATGTGGTACACTTTCCTTCTTAGATCGATCTACACAAAACTATTATCCTACAAATAGCGTCGTGAGTTTCACAGCTGTTGCTTACTCGGCAGTAATTGGATTTGAAATATTTCTTATTTATCACCAAGTAAATAGTATGCTATCGACTCGATTACAGCTAATATACAAAGTTTAAATTGTGAGTAAAATGGATTTTTTCGTTGTTATCAATCGAATGCACATATTTATCGGTTGCTTTACTTGTCTTCTGGCATTTAGTTTCCTTAAGATTGCTATAGTTTGTCGACATTGATGCCTCACTTTTCCTACTCTACTAGCGTGTACCACTGCTACAGCTGTTTTTCTTTATTATTGTGATAACACGATGGTAGCTATCAAACTACGAACTCTTTCTGTTCTCTATATCCCTATATTCATCATTCAACAATGGCTACCATTTAATATTCGTTCAACCTTTCAGCAATAGAAAAATATGTTAAAATGAAGAGAATGACATTTCTTGATACTTGCAGTCGTAATTTATCTATCGTCCTCATTCAATGAATATTTGATTTCATGTTTGGTCTGCCTGTTTATCTAACAGACAACATGCCAAAAGTTCGTTTAGATAATCTATGTTTTGTCTCATTATCAGAACCTGGCGTATTATTTCCTGTGGTTACGATAATATTTCTTTTAACTGATATTATTCTTGCTATTCTCTATAGACGTTTAGTAGTGTACGTACGCCAAGCTTCATTGAAAGTTCATATCGATCAGAAGAAACAAATTTGCCGAGACTTGACAATGGTCCAACGTGTAGTATTGCTACATTCACAACTGGCTCTTGTCGACATGCCGTCGCTCGTTTTTATAATATTCAGTTTAATTCACCCTGATCTTTCACCACCTAAGTGGATACGTGTTTTACTTTTCGCAGTGACTACTGTCTTATGCCCTATACTCATTGTTGTCTACTGAATCACGCGAAATCTACGACAAAGTCTTATGGAATGTCTGAACGAAGCAAAACGTTCTTCACTAGACAACGACAATCACGTGAGACCAATGACCGAGAACGATCGGTTTTAGGTGAAAGTGGTTGAAATATTTCTCTATCTAGTCTTCTGTTCAAGAAAACAGCAAATAAGAATTCCCATATAATGGTATAATTTATCTAAAGACTTTGAAATAAGGCTTCTGTCTTTTAATCATCACCCTCAATAAGCAGGAAAAAAATACGTCGAATTCAGTTCAACATTTTGGTCACTATATAATCTAACCTCATGTTTCATTATTCTTCTCGCTTTTTATCCTAAGATCTACTGATGATTTTACAATGAGTATAACGAAGTACGAGTAGGTCTGATATTGAATAGTATCTATCCAGTATACTTGACATGCGTATGATGTAGGTCTCCATTCACAGATCATACAATTGTAAATATTTTTAGAATTTCGAAGATAGATCGAAAGAAATAGAAAACGCGCATGGTTAACAACACACATAGATCCTGTCAGTCGTTAAGATTAACTAGCAAACTCGTAGATGGTACTTTCTAAGTTGACGACGAAAAGGTTGTTTCAAATGTTGATTGAAATTCTCTCAAAGATATCATCATAAGTTGAAAGACGAAGTTCACATAATGAAAAGGTGAAATAGTCTAAAAGTCTAAATGTAGCCATTTGAAACCTTTGAAGTCTCGCACGAATGGTTTCAATTACTGATAATCATTCAAATCATAGAATGTCTAAAAAAAATTTCCAAAGCAGTTTTTTGCCGTTTGGTTTACTTAAGCATTCGACAAGTGTTCATGCATTGAATACAAAAGTAGTCATGAGTCTGACAAGAGTGATAATACTGCATTATTCTATTGATCATAAAAGTGCATTTGATGGATAGTGCATAAGATGGCATAAGTGAATATAAATAAGAACTCATATAGAAAACATATTTCAAGCTTCTTTTAAATGGTTAAAATGGTAAAATATAAGAATAGAAGACGGTTGATCTCTAAATCGAACTCACTTGAAAGTCACTCATGTAATAACTTATTCAATAGAGTTTCGTGCTTCTTTCTCCAATAGTATATTACTTCGAATAGAAAAATTCAAGCAAATAAAGTGTCAATCGATCAGATTCTTTTGGGTAGATCGGCCGTTGTTATGCATCCAAATTGAATATCAAGATTCTATGACCGAAACGAACAAATTGATATCAATCGAAAAGTAAAATATCAACAAGAGTTGTTAGTTTATTTGGAAATGCAACTTTTCGAATGACTTAATTCTAGTCAAATAAAATATTTCAACTTGAAAGCGAAATCATCTTACAATCAATAAAGTCGTGATCAACATTGACAAAACGACAGTGAACGGTTGCAATGAATTTCCCATTCTCTTATCTAATTCATGTTTGTTTGTTTTTCAGACGGAGTTTATTGGTTGGCGATTAGACAGCAACTTTGATTAGGAAGAATTGTGACTATTACATTCCAAACTTGTTTTCAAAGAAATATTTCAGCACTTCAACGAAGTCTTCTTGTTAATTTTTCCGTTGATCTTTTCTTCCTTTTCTCATTCATTCAAGTCGTGCTGTACTAAATAAATGAAAGGGCTTTTTGAAGTATTACTCAGTTTCATCGATATTAGACCGAAGTTTGTATTTTGTATTTCTTGAAAGAAAAAAGGAATGGGTTCCATTTTTCTCATATTCTCACAATCGTCGTCATTTGGAAAGCTGTTTTTTTCTGTCATTCATTTGTAAGTTGGAAAGAACTGGCGTTCATTCCTCACCCTGTTTAACATGCATAACTTGCCATTAAGATTAAAGCATGATTGCATTTGGTAATCACATTGAGTATTTGTTTTTGACATTGAATAAGGTCAAGTCGAAGAGAAATAAGAAAAAACAACAAAGAATAAGCATGGATGCATGCAGATCTTCTCTTCAATATTGCCCACCTTCAAATAGACAGGACATGCAATTAATAATCAGAGAAATGTATTATGTGGCCTGTTTTATCTCGCTCTTTGCTGATCAATTGGTTGACCATTATATTCGATCAGCCTGTGCGGTGACTGTTTATCTTATTGAGAAAGATGTCTTCAAATATTTCCTGCTAATATTCAATCTATTAATAGATACATATTTGTTTTGAACGACAGTACTAGTTTTAACTCGACTAATTGAGCATTTTCCAGATAACCGAAGGATAGTTTCTTTTAAAAAGACCGGTAATGTGCAGAGATCCTCTATTATTGATTTGATCGCCACACAAGAGAGAACCTTTTCAATAAATACAATAACATTACAGCGTGTTTAGGTGTCGAACGGAATGTATGGTTGTGTGAGTCTTATCTTTACCCACTATCGAATATCTTCAAGCAGATGATAAAGTTAACTACAAAAAATAGTCAAAAAATAGAACAAGGTCAACGTTTCTGACTGTTACCAGTGAGTAGGCAGACTCAACCTAGACACATATTCA